ACTTAACATTTGCGAGTGCGTGAGACCATGTTGAGTGCTTTAGAATTMAAACTTAGCTTACCAGTTTCGTAATACAATAAAGTAAAATAAAGACGACTATATCAATAACTTTCAAGAACATCGCCGTGACAATGATGATGATGATGATATTGATGATGACTAAGAAAATATTCTTTGTTAACTATTTTATTCAAGTACAATTAGAAACATGTGGAAAAGTGTTATAATAGTGGAAAACCACAACATGAAATATGTCTGGAGCATGATGATGTTTACACCCATCTGTACATTATAATAACTTTCACAGTTCTTTCACATAAAAATTGTTGATTCTTCTGAGAATTCAGCAAAGTTAATTAAAGCAATACCTTCAATAATTATTTATTTTTTCATTAAAAGATAAAATGTCATGCTTCAGAGTGATTATCATGAAAGTATATCAAGAATATGTTTATATTTAGCCCCCCTTAGGTCAAGGCTAGATGGTTTCTCAAAAATTGTTATGAGCAGATTGATATAGGCCCTTCTAGTGCTTTGAATAAATCTAACWTTTGGTGGTAAAGCTTTAGCAATTGTCCCAAAATTAGTATCATTATAAATATACAGCTASTGATTTAGAAATTTGGCTGTAGCTGACAGGTTCTAAGCTTGACAAGAGAGACAATAGAAATTGTCTTGAATTGTCTGATTAACAATACAGTATCTCTAAGTATCATTTTTTGTCATTTTTAAAAYCTGTTCTTAACAAGTGCTGGAACCACATATGTACTGTGAAAGTTTAATAACTTCTCTTTTGTTTTACTCCAGAACTGCTCATCAAAAGCTATTTTGCAAATGYGGATATCAAACTGTTTAGAAGTAAAAATTATCAAGTGACAAATGTTCCTTTTTGTAATGGCCATCTGCATTTGCACCTGTGTGTAATATTGGTTGTTTTTTCTTAAGTTCAATGCAACTATTCTCAATAGCAAAGGCAAATGAAGAATCTTTCTGCTTTTTTTGTACTGCTTCCATTGGTGTATAGTCTCTWGAAGCTGACAGGCACTTTACTTCAACAACTACCCTAACTTGATTGTATGTAGCTAGTCTATCTGGGCTTGCTGCCAACTGTCCACAATCAGTATCCACTATAAGTCCACACTCCTCCACAGTAATGGTGTCACCATTTGATTTTGATTTTTCTATGTATTTATTRACAGCAACACCTTCATTTTGTATGCCATATTCCATATGACAGTTTACTTTTGACTTTTTGCTTTTCTGATTGCCAATAGAAATGATACTTTTCAAAATTTTAATTGATCACCTTTTCCACAGCATCTTTTAGCTTTACTAGCTGTTATACGGCCATCTCGATAGTGATACCAGCGTGGATTGTCACTCTGACCCCTAGTTTCTTTCTCTATTTGCAGCTGTTCTTCAGAGGAAACCTAAACAAATTAACACAAAAAAATATGAAATTTTATTTATGTTGATTGTTTTAAAATTGAGACAAACTGGACTATAAAATTAAATTTGACCAAAGCACATTTGAAAGTGCATGCTACCCTACCGAATATAATTTAGAGTTATCTTTGGACATTAGAATTTCTATTTTTACTAATTATTTTATTATTATTTATATATCTATTTCTTTAAATGTTAATTAATGATAGTCTTTATTTCTTTATATTATTTACTTATTTATGTGTTTCTTTAATTATTTTTTGCTATTATGTGATAAGAAACGGTCAACACATACCTGTAGCTTTTTGACAACAATTTCCTCAGGTGATAGGTTTGTTTCTGTTTCTGTGTCAGACTCACTGTCAGATGTAGTATCCATCAAAACTTGCTCAAGAACAATTTTATGTGAGARAGCTTTAAAATCTTGCAATACTTCAGAAGAATCAGGTGTAACAATGGTTGAAACTGATCATAATCATCAAGTGGTCTCTTTCTCTTGACAGTTCTACCATAGACATGTTTKTGTACTTTTCTTTTTCCAACAATTTCGGGTTGGGTTACCTTTTTATTTTTTCTGGTTGGTTTATGCCACACTTGTGGTTTGTTTGTACAGCAATCAGGGTATCTCATGGTATTAACATAGTCAACTAAGGCAAAAAGCAGAGCAGCAACATGGTTGCATTTACCACCAGCGCCAGCAGGACACTTATTGTCACAGTTCGCTTGAACAACTAGCACCTTCTTTCTTTCAAGTATCAGCTTGACGTCATATTTTGCATCTCTCATTGAAGCAAGAACAGTAGTTCTAATGTGAATGTACGTTTTTGACGGATTCAGCATGATTTCACCTACATTGCCGGAAGCAAAGAAATTGTAGCCTTTCACCAACGGTTTAGCAGCGGTTGGTAGCGGTAAGGTATTTTCTTTGGAACTTTTGGTATCTAAAACAACAATGTCACTTTTTACAAGATATTTAACTATCGAGGAATAACAAAATCCTTTTGGTAATAAGTCCAAATTAGATGTCCAGTCTTCCAACTTTGGCAAAGACGGTGAAGAGAGCATTTTAACGTATTCTTTGATAATGTTCATGGTTGTATCTTTGTCTGGATTATAAATATACTTGTCGAGCCCAGAACGCTGCAATTCTTTCACTCTACAGGACATAACAAAGCTGCACTTCAGCAAAAACACATTTTCGATGTTAGAATTAGTTTAAAAAAATCAAGTTTCTTGAAAACAGGTGCACGTAAACTTAAACAGCAAANTTTAAAGGAGAAGTCCACTCCCAGAAAAACCCATATTGAAATAAAAGTTTGATATTTGATTAATATTTTAGCGAAGTCTTACCTTTGTAAATTTAACTATGACCGAGAAACAATATTCGGAACTCACTCGAAAATGTACACTTCGAAGCCGCCATCTTGTACAGGAATCCGAAAGCCGCGCAAGGACTGGATCGAGACTGTGACGTCACTGCGGGGAAGCGATACTTTTGTACTGAGAAATTAAGTAGTGATTCGAGTAGTTGTAAGTATTTCTCGGTTTTTACTTCTTTCTTATCATTGAAAATAACTTCCAAATATTTGAGATGAGTACTAGCAGTAGCTCTTTGAGTGACGGTATCAGTAGTAGTAGTAGTAGTAGGTCTAGTAGTGATGAGTTCTTAAACGAAATCCAACAACAGAACGGACTCGAAATTCAAGGCTACATGTTTCAGCCAACACGGATTGTGGACCATTCTTCCGACTCTTCGGACTCTTCTTCTGAGTCTTCAACTAACAACCCTCGTTTACAAAACTCAGATTGGTAAGTAATTGATTAGTAAAATTGTATTTCCGTAAATAAATTGCTGGCCTCTAACATTATAAGATGTGATGACTATTTACTAGGTGTAAATGTGACCACTGCCAAATTATGGACCGTGAAGTGGAGTGTGTGTGCTGCCAGGAGATAAWTGAGGTCCTAGAAAAAAATCAAAAAGTTTCAGAGGTGGAAAACATTCAAATAAGCTGCATCACTGACAACCCTGGATTCAAAGCAGTTTGCCTGAATCGATGGGTGTTAGAAGCYGCATGGCACCAATATAGACAACAATATAATGCGGACACAAACATACCTGAACACAAAAAAAATCGACACATTGCCTACAGACAGTTAGTAAGATGGTGCTGGAGAGTCTTGGGAAAAGATGTCAGAGTTGTTTTGCCTTCCTGTGCTGTTATGTGCATTCGTGCACATTTCCCACCACCTGGCATTGAGGAAGAATTTGAATTTACTGGTTTCCATTATGCTGATGAGTAATAACTGACCAAGTAAAATTGAAGTATAAATACCTGTTTACAAAAATAACTTATTTTTCACTTTTTTTTTTGATCATTCTAGACATGTGCATCTTGATGACCTCTTCTTTCGGTGGCTTTGACACTGTAGCAATATTTTGTGGAATGCAAGCAGGTTTTTTTTGTTTTGGTAATTTTCTATTTGAGTTGTGGCATTCATTCATCTCGTCCACCAGCTCTTTGACAAAAGCAAAGGATTTCTTCTCTAAAATTGGCTTAGCCACCCAAGCCTTTCTGTTTTTTGGAAAGACCACCTTATACCTAGTACATACATACAACATATATACATAATTTTATATAATTTATGGTATTAAGTTATATTNGATCCTACCAAGCATGCCTTGATACGAAAAGTGTGTCCTCTTTGGTGCATACTTCAGAAGGAGTGAGTGAAATACTTCAAGATTACCAGTGTGGTGGTATTCAGTAAGCTTTCGAATATCTTTCAATAATTTCTTGTTGTGGACTATTTCTTCCAAAGCAACATGGGCAGAGGATCCTGGTTTCAGCCATACAGTTTCCTTGCGCTCTCTCCTTGAAAGCTTGTGGTGTTTGCATGATAGTGTAGCTTTACCRAACAATTCATTGATTCATTGAATGAAATTCTTTGAGAAATTATATCAATGTACTTTTTTCAATAATTAACTATAGTTTTAAAGACTTTTTTAATGAACCACTAATTCAATTATCAGTTTTATTGRTGTTGTTTATTATCCTAATAAAAATATCATATTATAGTATATTGGATTGAAATACATTATTCACCTTCTCTCCAAGTATGTTTGTCAGCTACYTGGTTTACTATTGATATCCAATTCTTTACTAGGACATCTGGATCATTCTTGCATTCTTTTGCYCTCCACCACAAATGATTTGATATGCTTTTAATCCAAGGTTGGAGTTCGGTGTTGGCCTTTGTTTTTGCTTTTTTGGTTAACTTTTTTGTGACCCARTTTGCCAAGTGCCACACATCATATTGATGTTTGATAAAAGGGTAGTTTTTTGCCAATTGTGCTGTTATTTGTGTATGACGGTCAGTTGTTAAGCAAGTTGTTAATTGAAATTTGTCTATTTAACAGATTGTCCAGTGATCTCTTGCAACCTTCATACTCCATGGCATTAGAAGAAGATACCTCAGACACATGAATAAGTGAAAAGTCTACAATCTTACCAGACTTTTCATSCATTAAACTATAGCTTCCATATTTGGCTGTATGCCCTGGACTGTCTGATCGACCATCCCCACATAAGTCAACAGGGTTTCCATCTTTAATGTTATTTATGATAGTGTGTTGTTGCTCTCTATACTGTTTATTTATTACAGGCAATATAATGCTGTCTTGCATTTTAAAGAAAGATGACCTGCCTATAAAATTAAGTTGCAAAGCCTGGGCAAAGTTTGAAAATTCTTGAAATGTCCCTCCTGTACACACAATTGCAGCTGGTATCAGTAAATTTCCAGCAGGTATATTCTTYCTTGTACTAGTTGGTTGTGATTTCCATGTATATTCATGATTTTGAATGCATAAAGTATGTATTGTTACCATACTACCATTAATGGTTTTTGTGACTTCACATACTGGGGATCTACATTCTTGACAAAACTTGAATAATTCATTTAATTGGGATTCAAATACAATATATGTTTTGTGATTTGTAATAGGATCAATATTCTCCATTTCAGTCTCAGAATCATCACTACTTCCCTCACAATCAGAACTGTGGTATTGATATTCATCATCACTAGAATTATAATCATTTTCACTGCTACTCATATCATTGTCTTGTTCCTTGTCAAACTCAGGAGATTTTAATTCATCATTATCTAACTCATCCATGTCATGTGCTTTGTTTTGGTTTCTTTCATCTAGATGTGAGACAGGTGGAGGTGCAGGAATACAATAGTTATGGTCACAGAGTGGGTCAATATTTTGACTGCTACAGGCTCTAGACTGTATATGTTCAATTATTTGTTTYTCTGATTCATTTATTTTTCTTTCAGGTCTTGTTTTTAATGTCTGTGTACCAATGCTTCTTTTGTCATTTTGACAGACATCGCTAGAACAATACTGAGTGCTGGCATCACTTTTTGAAACAATGACTGGTTGATCTGTATTATCAGAAACATGATGTATGTCTTCACAGAAATRCATAGATGTTATATCTTCCGAACCAGGACTAACATTTACCATCTGTTCAATCACCTTAACCGAAGAAATATAAATATTTAGTGAACGCCGATATAGAGAATAAATAAATTATTAATAGATATGGCAATTTGTAGTCAAACTTACTTCTTCTTTTTCTCGCTGTCGTCTTCTTTTGATCGAAAGGGGACGCTCTTTTCTTTCTTTCTTGAACTTAAAAATTGTTGGGACTGCACCGGGTTTTAATGTTTTTTTGTCCTTTTGACCAGCTAATTGAAATTTAAATGAGCGATTAAAGCATTCTGGCTCGAAGTGTTCGCTACAAACGTAGCACGACTCGCGTTTTGGWGGGTTGTGACGTTTGGTTTTTTCAATCCAAGTTTTCGAGAGTTTTTTATCTTTAGGCAATCTGTGGTACGAGATTTCTGTCTCTTTTGTTGTTCTAGATTCATTAGTACAACCTGGTACCATACAATAAGGCATAATTTGTAAAAAA